CCTTATATATGGTACCTAGATCCATCCTCCCTTGGTCTTAGCCATTTGGTAGGGCTCAGATGATCCTCATGCTCTGGATGAGTACATGACTGAGGCCTAATGAGTCAGGTTAACTTGCCTTAGTAAGTGGGGACATGACCTAGTTCTATGGTTCTCAACATTTTGGTCTCAGGAACCCTTTACACCCTTACAAATTATTGAGGACTCCCAAGAACTTTTAAGTAGGTTATATCTATCAATATTTAGCAAACTTTTTTTTTTTTTTTTTTTTTAAAGAGAGAGAGTGGTGGGTGGGGGGAGAGGGAAAGGGAGAGAGAGAATCTTAGGCAGGCTCCATGCCCAGTGCAAAGCCTGACACAGGGCTTGATCTCACAACCCTGAGATCATGACCTGAGCTGAAATCAAGAGTCAGATGCTTACCCAACTCAGCCACCCAGGCACCTCTAAAACTTTTTTAATATAAAAATATATAAACACACATTCTATTAGCTGTCAGAGTAATGATATCATTATATATAATTTAGCCTCTGGAAAAATTCCACCATATCTAATGAGGAAATGAGAGTGGAAAGACAAATAATGCCTTAGTATTAGTATGAAAATATTTCTGACCTTGAAGACCCTCAAGAAAGGGTCTTGGGGTCTCCAGGTATCCCCAGACAAACTTGAAAACTACTGATCTAAATTATTGCTTAGAGAAAACAATACCAACTTTGCCACCAGGTGGGGAGAATCAATATGAGAAGTAAGACAACAAAGGAGAAAGCATAGCTGAAAGATTTTGATGACATGGTTTCAGATCCTGAATCTAGCCAACCCTGAAGCTATATACATGTCTGGAATTCATAGCTGCATGAGCCTTTTGGTGTAAGCTAGGGTCAGTCACTTGTAACCAAAATGTTCTCATACATCTGGATTTCCAGCTGGGGACCTCAGAGGAAGAGAGCAAGGGTGAGAAAAATACAAAGGACCAGGGCACAAAATTACTCAAGCAGAAATCTGGGCAGCAAAAATATAATATCAAAAGCCCAAGGAAAAGTTAGAATTTATTTTTATAAACATGGCAGACATTGGAAAACATTGTCCTAATTATTCTCAAATAAGTGCCATCAAATTCTGTGGACAACTGTGGTGGCTCAGCTTCATTAAAAGATAACAAAGGCATCAAAACTAACAGCAAAATGTCAATGTCATTAGTAGGAATGTATTGCCATTCCTTTGAAAAATTCTAATTTGCCAGACTTTGAAAAATTCTAATTTCGGAAACTGCTTTTGTGGGGAAAAGCATTAGGCCATTTAGTTCAAATATTAAAAACTTCCCCAGTATTCTCTACTATAGAGCTGTGTTTTCTCTAAGCATGTGTCTACCTGTACCTCTGAAACAAATAATACATTATATGTTTAAAAAAAAAAAAGAAGATAGTAGGAAGGGAAAAATGAAGGGGGGGAAATCGGAGGGGGAGACGAACCATGAGAGACTATGGACTCTGAGAAACAAACTGAGGGTTCTAGAGGGGAGGGGGCGGGGGGATGGGTTAGCCTGGTGATGGGTATTAAAGAGGGCACGTATTGAATGGAGCACTGGGTGTTACACGCAAACAATGAATCATGGAACACTACATCAAAAACTAATGATGTAGTGTATGGTGATTAACATAATAAAATTTAAAAAAAAGCATGTATCTAATTTCTAAATCCCAGCTTTTAAAGAAATCTTTGAACCTTTGTCATTGCCTGTACTGGCTTGAATAGTGTCTTCCCCCACTGCTCCCAAATTTCACATTCACTCAGAATCTCAGAATGTTACTTATTTGGAAATAGGGTCTTTGTAGATATAATTTGTTAAACTTGGATCATACTGGATTATAGTGGGCCCTAACTCGAGTAACTGATATCCTTATAAGAAGTGCAAGTGAAAATACATATAGACAAGAAGGCCATGTGGTGATGGAGGCAAAGATTGGAGTGATGCAGCTACAAGCCATGGAATGCTAAGGATTGCCAGTAACCACTAGAAGCTAGAAAGAGGCAGGGAAGAATCCTCTTCAGAGGATTCTTAGATCCTTCAGAGGGAGCATGGCTTTGCTGACAGCTTAATTTTGGACTTCTGGGCTCCAGAACTTTGAGAGAATAAATTTCTGTTGTTTTAAGGCACCCAGTTGTGATAGTTATGGCAGCCCTAGGGACTAATACATTGCCTAACTCAGCCAATCTAAAATTCATCTTGAGTATAATCAAGCTTCCCTTGGGGAAAATAATAGGTTAAAATCAACCACAATTTCACCTTGCACCCATTTTTGTTGTTGTGCTGAATACACATAACAAAATTTACTATTTTAACCATTCAATGGCATTAAATATATTCAAAGTCATTTTTAATTGACTCAGTTTTAATTGTGGCTGCTAGCCTATCAGGAAAGAGGCAAGAATGGAATAAGCCTTAGAGGAAGAATAATTTATTGCCAAATTTGTTCTTGCTCACATCCAGTGTTAATGAGGAGAGTCTGACCTCAGAAAAGCCAGTAAGCTTTTACCTTATACTGAAATTGTAATTAACCACAGGAAAACTAAAGTACCAGGAGGGCTAAGTGTAAACATACTATTATTAGAAAAATTTCAACCTTTACACTAATTCATTTCTACTGATAAACTTTCATCTTCATAATGAAAATCATTATGAAAGCCAGATGTTTACCTATCTTTTGCATTAATTTTTAGTTAATTTAAACTCCTGTAGTTTTCATTAAAACCTTAAGAATAGAGAGAGTGAAACCCTGGGCATTGCTAATTCTTTACATACAAACTCTTTTTCATTTCTTGTTTTCCCTTTCCCTCAGTATATTCTTGAGACATCTGTCAATATTCAGGAATGCTACTCTCTTCTTACCTTGGTTTGAAAATTTTTCTATTATAATGTTTGATTCCAGGATGAATTTTGAAGAAAATTCATACTATAAAACAGAAGGAAAAAAACATGTGCATCCTGCAATATTTACTCAATAACCAGCAGTAAAAGAAAAGTCATATTAGACAGTAAGGTCACTGAGTTTTTCTTGGGCAAATTTTGTTACAGTTTGCTAAATTCAATAGAGATGAATACACTTGAGGAAAATTGTTGGAAAACAAGCACATATTAATAGTTGTTCAGCTTAGTTCTAGTAATTACTTTTTTCAGCAATTTTAGTAGTTTTAGCAAACAAACCTCCATATACTTTAGGGTTAATTCTCACCTTTCCCAATTAAATTTCACCATTATTACTTTTACATAGAAAGTCCCTTGTTTTATTTAAAATTTTATTTTTTACCTTTTTAAAAATTTAAACTCAATTTAATTAACATATAGTATATTATTAGTTTCAGAGGTAATTTAGTGACTCATCAGTTGCATATAACACCCTGTGCTCATTACATCAAGTGCCCTCCTCGCCCTCCATCACCCAGTTACCCCATCCTCTCACGGGCCTCCCCTCCAGCAACCCTCAGTTTGTTTCCTGTAGTTAAGAGTCTCTTATGGTTTGTCTAAAGTCCCTTGTTTTCTGTTATTTATTGTGAAACAAAAATACCAGTTTCTTTCCATGAATAATTATAGAATATTCTAAGTTGAGAGGGTGCTTATTTAGACAACCACTTTACTTAAAGGGTGCTTATTTAGTCTGCAACCTTAAAAAACCCCAACTTAGTTTAAGGTTATAGAACCTATTAGTAGCCAGGTTTAGAATTTATCTCTCTAAAACTTCAAGGCATTTAAAAAACATTTCAATTTGAGGGTGCTGTAGGTAATAGATTGAAAAGGTAATAATGTAACCAACTATTTGCTCTTCATCTTTAGTTTGAGATAAACCATTTTCTTGGACATACTTTCACATATATATATCCCTCTCATATGAAACTAGTTAAGAATCTGTTGGTCACCAGGCTCTATGGTGATAGATTATTAAAGGAAATGGCTTTATGATCTGGCTTCAATTTTTTAATCTATTGTCAAAAATTCTAGCAATACACATACTCAAAAGAAATTTTACTATTTTTTTTAAATCCCACCTCAATTTCATCCGTCATCTCCTTTGTACTCCCATTATTATTATTAATTTATTTGACATTGAGAGAGACAGCGAGAGAGGGAACACAAGCAGGGGGAGTGGGGGAGGGAGCAGCAGACTCCCCGCGGAGCAGGGAGCCCGATGGGGGGCTCGTTCCCAGGACTCTGGGATCATGACCTGAGCCGAAGGCAGACGCTTAAGGACTGAACCACCCAGGTGCCCCTGTACTCCCATTATTTAAAATGAAATACATAACGACATGAATTTTAAGTTAGAGGACAGATCCATGTTCCAATGGCACAATAAAAAACATAACCATCAAATTAACTGAGATTGTGTGTACAAACGATGATTATACATGTTTGACATTTTGCTTTTCATTCTTACGCTTCCCAGATTTACCATGGCCGAGAACAGAAGGAAAAAAATCTGTGTGTATTATTATTTTTTAATTCAGAAGTTGAAAGGACTAGGAAGAAAGGAACTAAGGAACCGATGTGAAATAGCCACAGGTGATTAATAACACATTTTTGAAAGATACATGAAAATAAGTGGCAACAAAAGCTATTTTCATGGGTAATCTCACGTCTCACAAATACTGAAATGAAACTCAATTGTCACGGCCTGAGTTCCTACTTTCAATTTTTCGATCGTGGTTCAGGGGAGAGGAACACGTTCTACTCGTTCTCTAAGATTGGTGCTTTTCATCTAAAAGTAGAGACCGTGGTGATGAAGCGTAAGGCCACGAAACCAGGGGGCAGCGGGAGGGAGAAAAGCCAGGCATCCCCATTCAAGATGCTCTGCTTCGACCGTGAGGATCGTCATGTGGGTAGCGACCTGGAGATGGGATCCTAAAGCACAGGGGAAGCGGATATCCTCCGGCAGGGCGAGCCGACTGAGGAAGCCAGCGGGAAGGTGAGGCGGGACAGAATAACTCCTCCTTCACCCACGGCGGGGTCCCGGTCTTAGCGGCCACTGTTCTGCCACCAAGTAGCTTTCTAAGCCACTTCCAGAGGCCCTGGCGCTTTCAGAGGGTCGGCTGGTCGCGCCCCAGGGCTCGAGGAGAGGCCCCGCGTGCGGAGTCCTTTCCTCGTCCCCTTGGGAGAGCGGCTCAGCGGCCCCGAGAGCTGCCCCAGGGCTCTAACGACGAGGCGCTGGCTCGGCAGGGGATTGCTTCTGTCTGAGGCTCGGTCGAGGCTGCGTTCTTGTCTCGCGGGCACCCGCTCCGCGTTCTCCAGCCAATCCCGCGCTACTCGCGCGCCTAAGAGCGTTCCCCGGTTCTTTTCGGGCTGGGCCGCCTCCTTCCCGCTCCCAGTACTCCGCAACCGGGCTCTCACACCTCCCCTCACTCTCCACGAGTTCCACGCCTCGCGGTGTAGCTCCGCCCCTATCCCCGAGTCCGCCCCCGCAACCGTCCGAGCGTGTGCACTCCTTTCCCTTCCCTCTCCTGCTGTCTAGCCGGTCTGGCTCTCGGGCTTCTCAGAGCGGTCTGGGTCTCAACGGCCTCACTCGGACGCCTCCGCGCGCTCTCCCCCCGCGGCCCCCACCCGCAGCTAGCCGCCTCCGACCTGGACTCGGGGTCGCGCGCCCTGACTCCGCCCCCCCACTCAGCGGACTCGCGCACTCCCGGCCCGGCCTCTACCCCGCGCAGGCCGCGGAAAGCCTGGCCGCCTCCCCCTCCTTCTCCGGTCGCTGCGAGCTCCCCGGGCGCTCTAGCTCTCGCGCTCTCCGAGGCGAGCGCGCTCCCGGCCCGCGCGCTCCGGGCTCCGGCTTCTCCCGGCTCCTGTCAGTGCGGTGACTGCGCTGGGAAACATGGCGACCGAGGGAATGATCCTCACTAACCACGACCATCAAATCCGTGTCGGAGTCCTCACAGGTAACCGGGGAAGGAGGTCCGGGACCGCCGAGTCCGCTGTCCCCGACTAATCTCAGGCTTCTCGCCTGTGGTGACTCTTCTCTGCGGCCTCGGGAGGAGGGAAGGCTGAGGAGGGGGGACGGGAGGGTGCGTTTTACAACCACTGAGAGCTGACGGAGGTTGGGGTGTTCCTGCGGGCCCCCCGGGAGCTGGAGTCGGCCCGTGGGATGTCAGGCCCCAGTACCTTCGCAGCCGAAGTCCCTGGCCCCGGGGGACTGAGGGGCCGTGCGGAGGGCGCTGCGGGGCTCCTTGCTGCCGGTGCAGGCGGCGGGATCCCGGCTCCGCAGCCAGAAGCACGCCGCTCTGACTGGCCGGCGCGCTTCCTTCGCTAATGCTCATCTCAGAGAAGGGGGATTCCCATTTCCACCCCCTCCTTCCCCTCCCCCTACGCCGGCGGCCCCGCGCCGCTCTAGCTTTGCTTGCCCTGGGCACCGGTCGGACCCGACACGGGCGAATATCAGGCGAAACTCTGCTCTGCCTTAGGCTGCCCCTCGCCAGCGGGGCATCCCCTCAGTCACCCAAGGGACACCCCTTGTCTCTCCCGGGAGATGGGGGATCGCTTGCACCCAGACCTCGGACAGTGTCTGCATTCCGCTTGTCGGAGCAAAGGGGCTTCTGCTCTCCTCTTCCTTTTCTTAGAGGGACGGGTTGCGTCCTGCGCCTTGGGCTTTTTACTTGAGAAGGTAGGATTCCCCGACTTGGGCTCCTCTGTCCTCCTCCCTTCTGGGAAGCCCCCCCTCCTCCGGATGGTCCCAAGGCTTGTGAGGAGCGCACTTTTCCTGGGTCTCGTTTCCCTCCCTCGCAGAAGCTGTGTGTGCTCTGCATGCCTGATTCCGTTGCGTTGTATTTGGGTAATATCCCTCAGTTCGGCGATAGGCAGTTGCTGCAGGGCATGACTTCCGAGATGAATAGCAAGCCAATTTGTAGGGGTTTCTGCTGTGGTTCTGTAATTGGCAAGGTTTACGTGTAATTCATTGGCGAGATGGGGGTTAAAGAACTGTATTTGAAATCTGAGGGCTTAGTTTGGAGTGAAGGAAATCCAAGACACACTGATGTGATTTCGGAAAAAGAAGAGATGTAGACGGGAATCCTTGTGTCTCCCCCGTCCCCCGCCCCTCACTTCTTAATTTTTTTTTCTCTTGTCAAATCTGACAGGTTAAGACGGTGCTCGGGAAGGGACTAAATTGAATGAGACTTGCTTTTATTGGGTAGGAAAAAAAATCTCTGTCGGTAGATACTGAGTGCTAAGCTTAATTTGGCTGCTGAGTTTTATGAAAAGGAGATACCCATGGCACCCCTTCCTCTCTTTTAAGTAAAAGGGTTGCGTTGCCCTGGTATGCTTTCCAGTTGTTAATGGTGATTTATTGAATTTTCCTAATCAAAAGCCCCTGGGATAGAGAAACTAGTCTAAACCAGTTGCAGGGAAGGGAACATTCCCCCCCCCCCTCCCCCCTTGATACGCTGTTCTCTTCTTTTGGTGCTGAAACTGTTGCCTTGTGTGAATATTCAGTTGTATCAGAATTCTTAAGTTGACATTGCTGATTTTCAAAGACTCTAATCGCGGGGTGTAAAAATGTATAGCCCATATCAGCCTTCAACTTGCACTTTAAATTCCAGCCGGTTTTGAAAATTAATAGAGTAGTAATAGTGAAGCTTTATAGAAATCAAAGTATTTCAGCTGTCCATGGAAATGAAAGGTCAAAGCTGTTTTAAAGTGAAGCCATAGCGATTAAAAAAGAATCATATATATATATATGTATATATATACACACGCACATATGTATATGTATATATATATATGTATATTTTGTTCATTTAAGCTTTCCCTAATAGTTTTATTTAGTGAATCATCTTACCTGGTTCAGGTAACACAGTAGATGCCTTTACAGAATGCTTTGATAGATACAGCCCTTATCTCTATCCATACAGTCCAATAGGGATAATATTGATATGCAAACAACTAAAGAAACAATGTATGAAATTATTGTGCTACAGTTGTTTAAATAAAATTACCTGTGTATTTGGGGGCTAAATGTAAAAGGAATTCCATTCCAGGATGGATTAGGAGCAAATATAACTGACTACCTGAGGGGAGAATTTAGTTCATTTACCAAAGGTAAGAAGAAACTGGCATTTTATTTTATTTAAGATTTTATTTATTTATTTGACAGAGAGAGACACAGCGAGAGAGGGAACACAAGCAAGGGGAGTGGGAGAGGGAGGAGCAGGCCTCCCACGGAGCAGGGAGCCCGATGTAGGGCTGGATCCCAGGACCCTGGGATCAGGACCTGAGCGGAAGGCAGACGCCCAACGACTGAGCCACCCAGGTGCCCCAGAAACTGGCATTTTAAAGGGGAGTTGAAAGTCAGTGGCAAAGTTATAAATGAATATGTTTGTGAGGATGAGGCTCTTGAGCAGAATAAAAATGTAACTCAAAGACCTTGAAAAGCTTAGGTGGAATAGGTGGGTGGCATAGGCAAAATGTCAAGGAGAGAAGATAACTTTGGCAGTGGAATTATAGGTAATCTGGAGAAGCTGTCTCATGAAAATGAGGTACATTAGTTTAGGGGGAAAGGTCTAGGGTTAAGAATAAGGACGTAGCTAAAGGAACAAAAAGGAATATGACCGATTTGGGAGAAGTGGTAATGGAGGACAACTGGATGTGCTGATAAAATGGATATTTGAAGTCAGAAATAACTGTGTTTTTACTTGAAAAGTTATTGTCTTTTCTATGATGGAGCCTGGAAACAGAAGAATCAGAGGAAAGAGCACCAGCCCTCAGTCTGCAATTAGAGGATTTTATTACAGACAGCTTAATATTTATGGTCTTGATATTGCATGTGATTTTGCGTAAGAAAAAAAAAACTACAAAAATGAGGCTATATTGTGTATTTTGTGTCTTGTAGAACTTCAAGTTTTTTAGTTCTACTATGTAGAGTTTTTCTTTATTGAACTGAAGTACTATGATTTCCTACTTAAGAAAATTGAATTAAGAGGCCACCCTTAATGCTGTGATTTTATGAGTTATATTTTGGCTCTTTTAAAGGCGGAGGGCGTGTTTTATAAAATATCTTCGGCATACTTCATAACAGTGGTTCTAAGTATTTTATCTATCTTACAAAGGTGGTTGAAAGTGTTGTCTACCCATGCACACGTTTTACAATGCGTTTGTATTTTGGTGAAATTGTATTGTCATTTCTCCAAGTCTTCAATTGACTTTCTTTGTGACATTTTTTTATTATCTGTTGAAAGATAATATTTATACTTTGAAACTTTTCATCCTTTAGATTTTTTTAGTCTTTATCTCGGCAATGAATTTTGCAAATAAATGTATGCAGTCTATTAAACTTCTCATCAAATAATATTAGAATTTTGAAACAGTGGTAGGACAGTATTTAGCAATGACATTTCTTTTTTGCTTGATGATCTTGAATCATTTTGGACTTGGAAATTTGATTATAATAATTAGTGTGACATCGCTATTTTAGTTATACAGATTATTTTTATCAGGAAAATGGGAACATTTATGTATATAAAAATTGGTCATCATGGAAAATTTTAGATTGACAGTAATTGCCCATCTGTAAAAACAATACTTCTATTAGTAACTGTCTTATGTTGATTTGCTAAAAATGAAGATTATATGATCTTTGGTGACAGTTTTTAATATATGTGTTTCTAATGTTTTCTACTTCTCTTGCTGTTTATAACAGAGATTAAAGTAATGTGCTGATGCAAATATGAGGCAAATAAAGAGGTATTTGCTTCTTTGAAGCTAGAAACAAGATGTGGGGCAGATGTAGGATTTTTCTCCCCTTGATAACGTTAGTAGTAATTATACTTTCAGCTAGTCTTAACAATTACGTAGCAGAATCATTATATTTTAATGTGTCACTTTTCACCTACTTTTTACTTTTTCTAAAGAAAACTTTATCAAGGAAGCACACTAGTTCTACCACTGTAAGAGCTCCACAGAAACATCAGGAAAATAACGAATACATGCATTTATATAATATAGAATGAGCTAGGTGGTATTCCATTGGTTATTTAATATTGTATTAGCTAGCTATTGCTAATGTTCAGTACCAAAGCATTTAGCACTTAGCTAAAGATGATAATCTATTACCTAAATTTTCACTAACAGTAGTATGGATGAGAAAAAGATACACATGTTTAGGAAAGAGCATTTTAAAATCATTTTTTTGCTCTAGTAATATACATTTTTATTGCACTAAGCTGTAGATCTGTAATCAGTAAAAGATATTAGAACAAATATAAGACTAGATAAGAGACATTAAAGACTAATTATAAAATAGAGCATCAAAAATATTATTTAGATATAGGGAATATTTTAGTTATTCATAAATAGTCATTCAGAATATTAAAAAAACAAATTCTTAGCCAAGGAAATTATAATCAAATAAGTCTAGAATTGTTCAAGCATTTATTTTTATTTCATTCCTCAAGCTTATCCTTGTACATTAAAGGTTTTCATATTGTTTTCTAAAAAGCCTATTTACTGATAAAGATATATTTATATACCTTTGTTTTGAGAATGGGTGTTATCATTAAGTAGGCAAATTAGTACTGCAAACCAAATCTGAATCCTACCAAATGGAATTGTGTGTTTTGGCAAACATACCAATATTGATCTGTATGATCATTGTTAAAAAGTATGCTATGTCTCAAACTACGTTATTCCTTCATGAATTTTTGGTTGGAACCAACGTATTAGAGAATTAAATGTTTAGCTAAAGCAAGAAATTGTTAATTTCTAATGCACGTACTACTATCATCACTGGCTAAAGACTTCTAAATTATTAGTACATATGTTGTTACATATTAAGAGTTTTAACTATATTAAAACCACATATGACTATTTGACATTAAATGGGGTGTATGGTGGAGAATCAGCAGTTTGTTGCTGGGGAGAAATGATGAATAAGAGTCTATTTTTTTTT